AGTTTCAAGTAGTCTGTTGGTCCAGTTAGGAAGTTCTAATTTTATTAAGCGAGTGCTTCATGTGACTAAAATATGACCATTTTGGCATATTCACAGCAGCATTCGAAGCGGCTTTGCATATTATTCAATTGATCATAATTTTTCCTTTGGCTCGTTTGTAAGTCGCAGCTTGCAATGAACTGATCAGATCAGTCAATTTTTGGCCCTAAATTCCCCATATAGGGAATCTAGACTGCAAAAGTGTATCTGCCCAATCACAAAAGCCAAAGAGTATTTAACTGAGGAAAATTGGGTCATTTTCAATAGTTCAGCAATGCGAAAAAGAACGGTAGGTGAGCGGTATGGACAAGCCATTGTTACAGTTTTTTCCACGCGTTTTAAGTTCAATACTAAACTAATAAAGCCCATATATGAGCGAAACCAGTCCGTTTATGTGCTTGATGCAATTGAGTAGTACTTAATTATATATAGTTCACCCGAGATACTTTTAAAAGGAAAAAAGCCCATATGGGCATGTTATTGCCGTCGTAGAATGCAGAAATATATTTAAATAGGTTTTCGGTTGGCAAATGGGTAGTTACCAATAAACTACTCGATCCAAAGCGATAAAAGTAAATTAGAATAATTACCATCAGGCTGGCATTTTAAATGCATTCAAATCGGTTATGAGAGTGAAGGAAAAAAAACGCTTTTTTACACGATTACACAAGCCTGGTTCGGATGTTTCGCACCCACCGACCAAATAATGAATTTACAATCAAACATGGGCGCTAGACGAAAGTGTCGATGATTAATGAACAATTTGTAAAACAAATATTTATTTTTATTGCTGTGACCGAAATCTGCAAAGTTGAAGGCCTCAGATCTACATAAGAATTAATTAACGGTGATTCATCAGGCGTGCGATCGAAGCGAATTGGAAGAACTAGTAAAAGCATGCCAGTTGATTATTTACTGGGCAAATGCACTTGGAAATCTGCTATTTGCATTTGCATAAATTCTATTGAAATATCAGTTGCGTAAGAGATACTCAGACTGGTTTTAGGTTACACCAGCAGAGTTATTCAGTCACATTTCTTTGAGGACTTTGTCAACGTCGGCCCAAACATGGACGTTTTCATAAAAATGCACGCTCTGTTTGAAAAATTGCTCACTTCTGATTGGGGGCCAGTAGCGATTTGAAACTTATACAGTTGAAGGGTAATTATTGAGTCTGAAAACGCTGAAAATTTCATTCGGATCGCACCAGTTTTTCGCTTTTGCAGACTTGCTGTTTGTAGATGTTGGCTTAAAAATGGGCGTTTCTACACATCTGCACTTTCAGGCTTAAAAATTCCAAACTTCTAACTGAGAGCAAGTAGCAACTGAAAATTTTCTCCATGTATAGAACACATTTGATTTTAAATACTGGCGCAGCTTCATTCGAATCGCGTCCCAACCTGATTTTTTCGATTAAATATAGGCCTAATAGTGAACAGTTGCACCTTCTGCCTCAAAGTTTTCTAACTTTCAATTAAGCAGGAATGAAAATTGGGAAATTGGCGAATCTGTAGAAGACATTTGTGTCTCAAAAGGCTGAAAATTTCATTTAAATCGCGGGGAATCCTAATTAAGCCCTACTGGGCAAGTTTTGGTCTAAAAATGCACGTTTTCACGCAGCTGCGCGCTCTTTTTGAAAAATTCCCAACTTTTAATCTAGCGGAAGAAAGAACCCCAAAATTCCACTGGTGGGAAATAATCGGTTCTCTAAATAAAGAAATTTTCATTAAAATCGCAAAAAAATTTTAATTTTTGTCGATTTGCTTAATATTGGCCTAAAAAAAGGTTGCACCCTTTGCCTTAAAAATGTTCTCAATTCTAATCTAAAATAATTTCAATAATAAAATTTCAACAATCCATCAAAACCTTATGTGTCTGAAAACTGGAAAAGTTCCTTGAAAATCCCCGGATATTGTGATTTTTGCCGAGTTGGTAAAGGAGGGTTGCGAAAAATGGACGCACCCGCTGTTTAAAAAATTAACTGTTTTCAAACTAGCTGAAGTAGAAATTTCACTCTTTTACAGCCTATAGAAAACACTTATATCTCAACATCCTGAGAATGCCATTTAAATCGCGTATAAATCTGATTTTTGCCGGCGTGATAAGTGTTAGCCTACAAATGAGCGTTTCCACATAACTCCACCTTCTACTTCAAACATGGCGTGCTTCTACTCCAGAACAGACGGAACCTTGACGTTCTCACAATATTTATAAGACACTTGGCTCTAAATAGTCTGATAATTTCATAAAAATCGCCCGGAATCCTTAATTTTGCCAGCGTGGTACATACCAGCCTCAAAACAGATGTTTTTCCTCGATTGTGCCCTCTTATTGAAAAGTTCGTATTTTGCAAATTAAAGCTAGGAAAAATTTGCCATTTTCAACATCGGTAGCAGAGTCTAAAAATAAGTAAAAGTCTAAAACTTGAGTCTAAATATTGTAAAAGTTTCATAAAAACCGCCCAAAATCCTGATTTTTGCTAGCTTGGTAAATGCCAGTCTCAAAATATATGTTGTTCTCAACTGCGCCCTCTTATTTAAAAATTCGTATTTTTCAAAATAAAGTTAGGAACAATTTGAAATTTCCACCATTTTTAGGAGATAGTTGGCTCTAAATATTTGGCAAGTTTTATAATAATCACTCAAAATGCTAATTTTAGCCAGCTTGGTAAATACCAGTCTCAAAATAGATGTTTTTTCTCAACTGTGTCCTCTTATTTAAAAATTCGTGACTTTCCAAGTAAAGCTTGGAGCAATTTGAAATTTTCACCATTATTAGAAGATACTTGACTGTAGACATTCTGCAAATGTCATAAGAATATCCCAGAATTCTGATTTTTGCGAACTTGGAAATTACCAGTCTCAAAATCGATGTCTTTCCTCGACTGCGCCCTCTCCTTTAAACATTCGTATTTTTCAGACTAAAGCTACAAAAAAATTGAAATTTTTACTATGGTTAGAAGACACGTGGCTCTAAAGATGCTGAAA